CTCTGGAGACTTTGTAGAAGAAGCTGGGCGTCGCTTGGCAACGCCTTGCCGCCGAATGCCCTGCGTCCTATTTAGATTGAACGGCGTCCGTCGTTTGAGCTTGGCTGGGTTTCGGGCCTCCGGCCTCTTGAGGATCGTCTTGGACTTTGCAGGCCTGGCCTTCGAGACAAAGTCTCGGACTTGCGCTACAAGCTCGAGCCGTTCTGTTTGAAGTGGCAGATGGGCCTTGGGGACCCTGCTTTCTTCGGCAGGACAAGCCCAAGACCGCCATGCTCTGTCACTAAAACACGCTGAACCCAATCGTCTCGACAGCACTTGGGTCGGTACCATTTGTCTGCAAGTAGGAAAATACAACGCGGCATTGTGCTGGAGTAGCTTTGCCACCAGCAGCACTGATAACTTCAGCTTGAGCGTGGATTTGTGCTGTCGCTGAATTTGCTTAAAAAATCCACGAAGCTCGGCATGAAAAGCTTCATTGCTCGTAGTGCCTGAAGGCAACAGCACTGCAGTGCTGTCTTCTAGGCCTGCGCGAGCTCGGTGATTGTTGAAAAGCCACTCGATGTTTTCCGCAGAAGTTGCAACATACAGATGGTGGTACACAGCCTTCCCTTTTTTCTCACTCTTGCGCATGACTTCAGGGCGATGCAATGCCGAGATAGCTGCAAGTGCTTCAATAAACTGAAGACGCGTCGCCCAAGCTGAAACATCTGGCATAGCATCCAGCACCCTTTTCGCACGCGCCTGCGGCATGCTGCCATCGAGTATCTGCTGACGGGCCGAAGCTTCCTGGGATGTAAGTGGAGAAGCAGCACGGCCTGCAAACATGAGCCCGAAGGCAACGCTCGATGCGCGCGGGCTGACGTTGTTGAATTTGCTCAGGCATGCTCGCAAAGCAGCTGAGCCTGGCGTGCGATGCCGCCCGGTGGAATATTCATACTTCATGGCTAAATGCAACGGATCCAAGCACAGCGATTTCAAGCTTGGCATGATTGCCGAGAGCTCATGGAAGAGCTCTCCGGAAGGAGCGTCCGTGGCAACATGCTCGACCTGCTGCAAGGCCGCAGGCGGAAGGCTCTGTCCCAAGCGCTCAGCGACGAAGGAAGCCTTCTCGGATGGCGAGGGTAACAAAGCCAC